CTCAGAATAATCTTTGATTAATAAGCACTTTGAAGAATACTTACACTTCAAAGAATACTTAGGAACTTTTTTCACTTACTTCTTTTTTGTTCTGTTTACAACTCTTCAGTTTGGGCATGAATTTAGTTGATAGTTGCTACCGGATTTCTAAAGATAACGAATTGCTGGCTCTTAAAACTTAGACTATTTTCTTAACTACCAGATTAGGTCTCAAAGTGAACCAAAATTCTGGACCTTTTTATTTTTGTTTTGTTTATTAATAGAGAATTTTAAAAATGAGATTTTGTAACTTGTAAAATTAAAAATGAAGCCTTCAATCTGTATGATAAACATGGTGGAATATAATTTGATATTTTTTGTGAAAGAGTAAATAGTGGGAGAGCAGTGCTTAATAAAGATGCCAGGTAAAACTAATTTCTATAAAGCCAGAAAATAATTATTCTGTAATGCACTTAGTACCACAGTAAATCAAATCAATAGCCAAAAAAAAAAAAAAAATCCTCTTCCTTTCCTTGGTCAAGGATAATTGGCTTATAGAACACCTAGGCAAACATGTCCATAGGCCCTGGTGGGATGCATCCATGAGTGCTGAGGGAGTTAGCAGACACCACAGATGAGCCACTCATGGACATCTTTGAAAGGTTGTAGCAATCAGAAGAGGTACTTGAGGACTGGAAGACAGTAAACGCCACAACAGTGTTCAAGACGAGAAGGCAATCAGGAGTAGCCAGCATGGATTCATCTAAGTGAAATGATGCTTGACCAACCTGATTGCCTTCAACAACAAAACAACTACCTGGACGGATGAGGGGAGAGCAGGAGATGTTGTCTACCTCAACTTCAGCAAGGCCTTTGACACTCTCTCTCACAACATTCTCATAGGCAAACTCAGGAAGTGTGGCCTGGATGAGTGGACAGTGAGGTCGATTGAGAACTGACTGAGCAGCAGATCCCAGAGGGTCATAATCAGTGGCACAGGATCCAGTTAGAGACTTGTCACTAGTGATGTCCTCCTACTGGACCCAGTATTGTTTAGCTTCTCCATCAGTGACTTGGATGAAGGGGCAGATGCCTCCTCAGCAAGTTCACTGATGACACAAAGCTGGGAGGAGTGGTCCATACCCCAGAGGGCTGTGCTGCCCTTCAGAAGGACCTCGACAGGTTGGAGAGATGGGCAGACTGTCTGAATTCTACAAAGGCAAACACACCTGGGATAGAATAACCCCAGGCACCACTACAAGCAAAGTGTTGACCCACTGGGAAGCAGCTCTGCTGAGAAGGACCTCTGGGTCCTGGTGGACAACAAGCTCTCCATGAGCCAGCCTTTGTGGTCATGAAGGCCAGTGGTATCCTGGGGTGCATTAGGAAAAGCACTGCCAGCAGGCCAAGATGAATGATCCTCCCCCTCTACTCAGCCCTAGTGAGGCCACATCTCTAGTGCTGTGTCCACTTCTGGGTTCCTCAATACAAGAGACACGGAGCTCCTGGAGCAGATATAGCAAAGGACCACAGAGATGATTAGGGAACTGCAGCATCTCTCTTATGAGGAAAGGCTGAGAGAGTTATTCAGCCTTGAGAAGAGAGAACTGAGAGAGGACCTCATCAATGTGTACAAATATCTGAAGAGAGGGTAGGTCAGAAGGGTGGAGCCAGGCTCTTCTCAGTGGTATCGAACAGTAAGAGAAGAGGCAGTAGGGAGAACACGATGTACAGGAAGTTCCACCTGAATATGAGGAAGAACTTTGTCACTGTGTGGGTGCACTGGAACAGGTTGCCCAGAGAAATTGTGGAGTCTCCCTCACTGAGTATATCCAAGTCTGGATGCAATCCTGTGCCCTGTGCTCTAGGATAACCCTGCTTGAGCATGGAGGTTGGGCCAGATGACCCACTGTGGTCCCTTCCAACCTTACCCATTCTGTGATTCATTGACTTCAGGTGGAATACTGGGAAATTCAAGAAAAATATAAGCATAAAACATCGAGCAAATACTGAATAACTCCAGTTTAATGATTATTATATTTAACTAATCTAGTATGGGATTGCAACAATATAGAAATACTTTTTTCTATATAAAAAAATGGCTTAAATTTATACATAATTCATGGAAAGTATGCAGCCCATGACTCTGAATCATATTTCAGTATTAACAGCAAAGCAATACAACATGTACATACTATTCATTACTAATCAAAATGCTAAAAAAAGAAGTAGTAACAATGCCACAAATCTCCGAAAATTGACTCTGATATTAGGCATTCTGAACTTCACAAAAATAGAAAATTTCACATTTTTTTAAAAACAGGTGCTTAAACTTAAATCCCAAAGCCTGTATTTTCTTGTGTGTTAGTATAGATTTTGAAAGATGGATAGTGTTTAATAGCTTACAGGAAAGTCATAGCAACCCTTGCCTATGATGAGAAGACTTTATAAAAGAAAGGACCTGACAGAAAGCAGTGGCTGACACAAAGTCTTTCTACCAATTTCAATAGGATTTGGAATTAGGCACCACCAGAACATGTTACTTCCCAAGCAACTTCAGTTTTTCCTGACTTAAAAACAGATTTCATACCTTACAAACTGACTCTTTACAGTGTGCTAATATTGGTAATGATCACTTTGGAGCCTGGGAGTAGCAAAAAAAGTCAGCTTTCCCTGGCTTTACCCTATAATGTATTTACTATCCATCAATTGTCAGATCCATGTATGTGCAGATTAAAGACATTTTACATCATCGCTCTACCCCTCAGAGGGTGGGAGAGAAAATCTTTCTTACAGGTTAAACACATAAACAACAATAAATAATCCTGTTTTCCTAACATTTACTCTTTGACCTACTCAGAGATGAAAATTAAACATTGAAAGTTAAAACTACTTAAACCAAAATGAAATCCCTACACAGACACCCTTATTTAAGCAATGCTGCATTGGTTTTGGCATATAAGTGTTCTACACCAACTCAAGCTAACAAGCAGTAGGGTCTATCAAATGAAGTGCATCCACAAAAGCTATGGGTTAACATGATTTACTTACACTGCTGATAAAATTATACATATAAGTAATTGGTACAACTCAGTAATCATACCCTTTATCCACAGAGCTCAAAAAAGAATGCATGCAATATAAAGAAGCCCTATCCACAGATCTCCAAAGTACACTAAATTTAGTATTGACTTTCTTAAGAAAATGAACTCAGATCTTGAAACGACGACTGGCTTCAATAAATTAAAGACAGCCATTATTACAGAAAGACAGATATAAACCCCACAGCAGTTATGTATTCATTTCTTCCTTACTTCAACCAACAATAAGTGACATTGCCCATAAGGAATAAAAAGCACCTAAACCCACACAAGAAGTTCACCTTAATGAACGCAATGCCATACTGGCTTATTACTAAGTACTGCGCAGTATTTTATGAACCTATTTTGTCTTATAAATTCTGTATTCTGTTTGCTCATGCCATCTCACCACAATCTAGTCAAAGCCACTAATCTGCAATGTACAAGACGTAAGGGTGTTCCCCATAAGTGTGAGTGCACAGGAGCTCTAAAAAACCAGTCTAAGTGTACCAACCTTCGGGGTGTGTACAATACATAAGCAACCTCTCTTGCATGGCTTTGTGTGAAAAAGAAGGCTTATGTTATTGCTCCTGAGTCACTACTGCCTGTAGTGCTCACGTTCTTTAGTGATGGAAGGAGAATTACACCTGCAATTACATGTATGGCAAGAAAGTGTTCTTTCCTACATAAAAATACAAAAAGAAAACCCACAAAATAATTACATGTGATAATTTGTTGCTATAGTTTCAAAACAGCAAACAAAGACAACAATGAAGCAACAAGAACAGGCAGACAACTGTAACTGACAGATATAAGAATATCCCATGTAACACAGCTACTGGCAATATGTCTGTAATACATGAAGGCAACTTATGGGCAACACAAGGACTTAGTACAAAACAATTTGCTGCTGTTGAAATTCTGTGATAACAGCCTTCATGGCATTGGCACAAAATTGGTTTACATTGTGACCCATTGGGAAAACACATTTTCTTTAATGCAGAGAAAACCAAAGTCTGAATAAAACTTTCTATGATGTCTTGATTCTTAAATTAAAACAAAAAAATCAACTTGACTTACAGAAAGTGTTAAATAGTAGCAAAGGGCTAATTATACCATACTAACTTCCTTTTGTCTAGTATAAAAGGACATTTTTTTACTTTGCCTGGCTGAGTATAATAGCCTATGAATTATGAGATCAAAGCAGCAAACTGTATGTTTTCTAAAGTAAGAGTTTCCTTCACCAAGTTTTACACTTAACTACAGCTGAAAGAGCTGTGTGAAGGGATCAGCACTAAACCCAAAGGACAGGCTGCGCACAGCAAGAAAGAGAGCAACTCCCTCGTGCTTTTTGCAGGTCACTACCAAGGACCATGTTAGCAGATCCACACCAGACCCTTAACAGGCAGCTCTGCTGCTACCAGTAATTAGCTTGGACAGCTCTGGCTCCAGGAGTAGCAGCAAGGCTACACCATAATGAGCTCAGCTGGGATTAGCAGGACAGGGCAGGGAACCAAGAGAGCTGAGGCATTCTGCATTGCGTATGTATCACAGAGATCAAACAAGGATGGCTGGCTAGGTTATCCCCTCACCACCTCATTCCAAAAATGAAGCACGGCAGTGTGGAAAATACAGGCTAATGAAGAGCGACACCTCCAACAGATGAGAGCCACATTAATTAACACAATCCCTAGATCATGGAATACAGTTTCTGTTAGTGCTAGCAAACTTGTAACTTGTCACTGATTTAAGGGAAAGGGGGAGGGAGTGGGGGAGAAGGAAAAAAAAAAGAGCTGATGTTTTCCTTTTCTGCTTTTGGTAGAAGACGTTTTTTCTTGCAATTTTGCAAGGAATTCCTCCTATATGGTCTGCAAAGTACTATCTTCAGAAAAAAACCCAGTATTTTTCTTAACTTAAATACCTTTTAAGAAGCAAACTCACTTTTCAATCAACAGCTTTTTGTGTTCCCTTTTGAAAAAAGCCAGTTCATTCCACACCATGTCAGGATCCTCTTGACAAAGCTGACAGGAGTCTGCATGCCGGTATCCGCTTTTACTATTTTCAAGCCTGTTTATGAAAAAACCAGTTTGTTTCTTTTCAAATACCTACATGTTTTGCTTTCCGAAAATAGAAATTTTCAATTACATCATCTACTGAATCTACATTTTGCATGAAGTATACGTTTTATGAGGCACAAAACCTTAACTGTGGTAATACAGAGAAGTCCAATAGCATAGTTTCAGACAGATGTTGTGCTAGTATAACACCATGCGTCTCAACCTACATGTGGCAGAACATTCTATCAACATTACTTAAAACAACAGTATGAGAAAGCAGAAGTTGAAACCATCACATAATCTCTTGAAAAAAAATGGAGAGCCACCAGCTCCCCTAATGCCCTGGAAAACCAATCTGGAAGTTGCACTAATGCCTACTCTAAATCAAAGTATTGTCCTACAGATCAATAGAAGAATAAACTGTCTACGGACAAGATGACGTATAAGGAAAAAGCATATTGAATTTAAAAGCACAGAAAAATAAATTTAAAATATTTACAGTTTTTCTGTCATTAAAATATTTTTATTTATTTTAATAATGCAAAAGCTAAAAATTGTATTAAAAATTCTTTGTGAAATCAATTTAAAACTCTCTGCAATCTGAATTCCTACTGGGCATAGAATAAAGTCTTAGAGAATGCGATAACCTCCTAAGGACCCCATCATCTTTGCAGTCATGTACATCACTGCAAGTTGTATGTACACTGACAGGTGGATTAGGTCCCATCAGCTGCCATCTTGATAACAGATACTAATCTATGACAAATAAGGAGAATAGGGTCCTCCATCACTTATAAAGGATCAGAAGTGCCACAAAAGGACCTGATACTGAGTTCCTAATGCACAATTTACATTACAGCAGCACTATATAACAGTCTTATTGCTACAGACTGTTTTTATTTCTGCCTCAGCTACTTTCCTTTGTTTAAGCGTACTAAAAAGGAAAACCAAACCTCTTCTAGTGTGGCTTCATATAATTCTACTATGATAACAACAATTAAAAAACCCTGCTATTTTCCGCTTATCTTAAATATATATGAAGAATCAGATGAATGAAGATTTAACATTACATTTTACCCAATACCTACTTTTCCCAAATACATTCCTGTCATATCACAAGCTGGTTTTATTTATTTTAAACAGAAACAGAAGCCACTTTTGTCTCTCCTGTTCTTTCTTTTTTATTTATCTTTTAAAAAACTATCAGAACGAGAACACTCAGTGTTTCACTGTATATCAAGTCTTATTTTACTGTCTTTATCTAGGTTGAATTTTTTTATCTTTTCAGTCTTGGCCTCTCAGTGGACAATGAATGCCTATTAAGCTATAGACACAGAATTAAATAATTTCATTGAATATAGTAACTATCATCCTGTAGTCACTTCCAAATTGCACTGAATTAAAAACAATGAGCTAGAGGAAAAAAATCATCCATGTTTTTCCTAAATAAGAAGCACCTTTTCATTGTAATTTAAACAAATTTATTTGTAATTATGCTCGGATTTTTCAAAAAAATCTTTTTGTGCTATCACAAATGGTGTAGCAGTTTTGTACTTTACCATTATTTTCATCCACACTTTTTTGTCTTTTTAAAAGACAAACTGTTCTTAAGTAAATGCCACAGTATTTCAAAGCAATGCAAATCTACTCATATAGGCCAGAGCATTACTTATATATCAGGGACAGTTTATCAGTAGGACTCTGACCAGCTACCAGTTTTGCAGCATTTTCTGTGACTCTCTTTTTGTTCAGAGAGCATTACAAAGTTTGTGTTAAGATTAGTCAGTATTGTTCTAACTGCAAAAAGAATTAAAGTAAAACACATAAATAACATATTTGGTGAGCTGTAGGTGCATGCTGAAGTCCTGCTAAAGCTACAAGAAAATTACTTCCTTGAACTAGGTCCCAAAAGACAGGAGTGTCTGATAACTAAAGTGAAATGTTTTCATAACTTCAAATGCATTTTTTTACCAAAAATTCTGTCTGCTAAGGACTTAAAAAAAAAAAAAGAAGTTCTGCATAAAATTTTCACTGTTCTGTATAGGATTTAAGGGAGAATTATATGTAGAATGTTCATCATATAAATTTTTATGTAGTACAGTCATTACTCTTTCCATTAATAAAGATCTTTACTGCAATTTTTTTGTAAAATTATCAGGAATAATTGATTTTTAAATAATTTAACATATACCAGCCTGTTTTCATTCACATATTATTTTTTTTCCCAATTAGGAAGGAGATTTCAGGATTGGATTCAGTTAATATTTGAATCACTAAATGTTAGAGAGGCTGTTATTTCTATATTTTTAATGAATAAAACTATATTTTAAAACCATTTGAAACATAATCAGCAATTGTTGTATTAAAGAAAATTAAAAACAGACACAGTCAACAAAATAATTGACTGGGGAATTACATAAACATAAGGAAGCAATCCTAGTAGACCTTTGTCCAGTACTCAGGCTCACCATGAGATCCTAAATAAAATAAGTCAAGGTATCAGCTCGATACATTTCCTCTTGGTTTCAACTGCAATTCTTCTCATACAGGGATAAGCCATATATTCTGATTTAACAAGGGATAAACTCTTGATCATAGTCATAGCACCTTCCTTCAAATCAAATTCTCTTTTCAATACTCATATAATACTTCTGTTCAGATTTCTTGTGTAAGAGAAATGTTTTTAATGAGCTATGTAACTTACCTGGTATCACCCTCTTCCCACTGCTTTAATTGTTCTTTTAGTGCTCTGTAGTTGGTCTGTAACATCTGCAGCCTTTCTTTGTGTTTTTCATAGGCTGCTCTTAGCTCATCAGTTTCTCGAGTCTGTATGAAACCAGAAAAATTGAATTAGAGTTAGTCAAAATGTAAGAGACTGTCACACAGACCACATGAAACAGAAGTTCTCTTTTAGCAACTATTAAGCAAATCAGAAATCTAAATAGAATGATCAGGAATTACAGTCTTTGAGATCAAAAGTTTCTTATTACTACTTTGGAAAATTTTGCTAATTTGGCAAAATTAAATATTTTTTTCATTCTTCTGAGAAAATTAAAAAATTTACTACCAAAATGTCAGCTTTCACCTTGTGAATACATTGGCCTAATACATCTGAAAATATATAGACTGAAAAAGGATTGCTGGCACCATCTTTTTTTCAAACTACCTTTTTTTTTTCCCCAATGGAAAACTGACTTTTGTATTTTCAAGGAAAATACTGGAACCCCTAAATTTAAAGGTTTCAGTATTTTTTCATATATTGTTTATATATATATATAAACCTGCAACTTCCAGGTTTTGTCTTCTAGTAATGTAGCAAACAAGAAAGAAAACCAATTTTTACAATAGCTTTTGTATAATCAAAACCATACCAAAAATGTACAGAACAATACACCTCGATTTATATTACAGGATAAATAACATCATCTAAGTTTAAAAGATTTTCCCAAATGACAGCACAGCGCTGTGAAAAAAAAAATAAAAAGAATACCAAGAAGAAGTATTTCACAGTACCAAGCAAGTCAAACTCTGGCATATAGCAATAAAGAATTCACCAGACATTATCCTGTAGCAAAATTTGCACTCAGAGCTTCATTTCCACTTCAATAGGAGCTCTGCTTGTAGAGCAACTACATAACTAAGTAAATCACAATACTTTATCTGCAAGTATTTACTGCTTATATGCAAGGAGGGCTTTTCAGCACTAGCCAATAAATAAGATACACCAATAGCCAGAGTCTCAAGCAATAAAATCCCACTACAAAAAAAATGGCAAGGGTTTCTAGAGTACTGCTAACTACAAAGTAGCTAGACTAAGCTTGGCTTCTAAAATGTAGCTCTGCTTTCACAATGCACAAACTTGAAAGTTACCAGCTAGAATTTCAAATGTTACTACATACAAAATTCCAGAAGTTTTTTGGAAGTGACTCAGGCAACACAAAGAGATTTAGGAACAGAAGCATGTCCAAAGTGACATGACCATTAAACACTTTCTCAAAGTGGTGGTGGTAGGCTTTTTTCCTGAAACAACCTGTAAACCAGACACATTTAATAAATTTAGAATTGCTTAAAAAGTACTTTTGACTTTTTTTAAGTGGCTCATGTAAATACTACCATGATATTAAAACCAATCACACAAATAGCAAGATATAACTCAGACTAAGGACACAAAGACTACTACCATGCTGTGTTTCACATTGTAACAGGAAATTTTCATAAGAATCCAACTACAGATGTGTTTTCAAGAGAAGTTCATGAAACAATTGTTCCAACATTGTTTGATATTGCTAGTAAAAACTGATCAAGTCTGGCAAGGTACTGAAAAATAATGTCCAGCATAAATTCTAAGAAGCTTATTAGTGTCAATGCCCTTTCAGAGGTGCAACCAACTGTAGAATTTGGCCTTTCCTATTTATGAATCTACATTTTTCATTATTGCTTACCTGTTCTATTTTCCGTTTTGTTACAATTATTCCCTTCCTTTATCACTTGCTCTGCTCTTGCAGAAATAGAAACTAGACAATTAACTGCTTTAATCACTGTCTTTATTGAATTAAGCACTTCAGGATTTTAAATATACACTGAAATTTCCACAATTTGTTAGATACGTCTCTCTCTGATTGAATTATGCTATATTTATTAAATAAACTGTCTTATACACAGTTTTCTATATATTTAGAGAAGTGGACAAAACAACCATTTCTATCGGTGCTGGACCTCCAGATTATTCTCCAGCTCTTCACTGTCATTCTATAGTACTTCCTAAGCAATAATGAAAGACAATAAGAGAAAGTCCAATCTGCAAGAGGAAAAATCCAACTGCCTGTGAAAAAAAAGCCATTCTTTTCTGGCAGGCAGCTCAGACAAGCCAAAAGATTAGCAGTTAATTCAAAATTTTGTTGAAATTGACCTGTAACAACTTCTGTTATAGTAGAAAGGAAATTTTAAAAATTATGCTGATTCAGTTATTTGACTACTATTCTTAGGCTTACAAGAAGTGACATACCCAATCATTACAAAAATAGTTTATTCCACAAACAGTTCTGTGAACAAGCCACAATACTAATAACAATCTATTTTCAGCATCTGAGCACCATATAAGAAATAGGACTACACGGGAAATCTGAGCTAAACATGAGTGTGGTCTTGCTCACATAAACAAATATTAAGGTGGGCCTAAAGAGAGATCTACATATCTTAGTTTTAATTATCTCCAAAAATTTTAGAACTTAAATAGGATGAGAAAACGCAAAGGGAAGAGCTCTGCTTGCTTTTAAGAGCTTTCCGGTACAGCCAGGATTATCTACTCTGGGCTACGCCAGTGCTCACAGTTCTAAAAACATAATATGGAAGAAGATAACATATTCTTAGCTCATATAAAAAACCTACTCTTGACAACAAAACTCTTACCTACTTCTGAAAGACTAAAAGTAGATTGATGTAGTTATGCTTTGGATCATTCTAAGTAGCAGCTTGATAATTCGTTATTTAAAACCCAGTAAGTACTCTTATTTATTTTGACATTCTCTTCTGTAAACAACTGCACAATCAGGCATGCTCTGTTACTTTTTAGTATGTCCAGACACAAAGGCAATTCTGTATAAAAACTGTGGACACTGAATTTACATGATCATCCCGCTTATAAAAGCAACAAAGATAGTAATAGCAAACTTTTCTTGGTCAGAAATGAGTCAGCTGAGGAGAACTGGAAAATCCTGTGAATAGGATCTTGTCCTTTTCTGCTCCTTTGCAATACTGACTGGGGCATTCCTGTTCCTGAAAAACCCATAAATAGAACGCTCTCTTTTTTTATTTTTAATTGTTACCAGTTTTTCAGAAAGACTAATGGATAAAGTCACAATTTCATCTTCCAGATATGCATCTTCAGTGTGTTTATCGATAGAGCAAGGATTTTTCTGAACAAGAATATTCCAAGTAGTCATATAGTCAACACCCTGTCTGAGGAGGCAATAATGCAAGTGCCAGTTTTGAAAATGTTGCTCATATGCATTATTCTAAGCTGGAAAAAATGCCTAAGAGAAGGCTAATATCAAGAAATCACAAAACACCAATAGAAATATTCTGACATTAATGTTATGACAGCTTAGTTCACTGCCATGCTGACAGTAGCCTCACTGAATTCTGAATGTAGTGCCATAACATTTTAGTATGCTGACCTGAGCCTCTACAGTTTCTTTTCAAACAATTAAAGCATTCTGCAAAAGAAGACAAGAAGATTTTCAAGAGAAAATGCAAAGAGTTCATGTATTCAGTTTCAAGGGGAGATATAAGACTTAGCCCTTCATGACATCATGGTTTAAAAGCTGTGATAGAGATCCCACACTTGCAACATAATAAACCTGCATAGATTCCTAAATTATATTTTAAGATGAAATAGAAGATAAGGCAGGATGGTGAATGGTACAAATTATGATATGAGGTTATGCAGAGAGAGTTCTTTCTCCTCTGTATCTACTGAGAAAGTCAGTATTTCCCTTCACTCTTCTTTCCAGAACAAAACACAGAGAGTGGAGCTCTCTATCATTTAAGGCAACAACCATACACACTGCTGTGTGAGCCTTGCTTCTAAGGGTGAACAGCTGTAGTCCACGTCAGAATAATCTGTAGCATCAGCGTCTGGCAGGCCAAGTAAGAGTAACAAAAAGAAAGCCTCCCAAAGGCCAGTTCTCAGCCTCAGATTTAGCTGGTGGGACATGCCTTAGATTTCTTAACAGAGAGGAAAAATGAAACAAAATTAATTTTCTGACTCCCAGAAACAAGAAGACCTGTAAGACTGAATCTGTAGTCTAAATAATCTTTCCTATATTATTATAATAATCTTTCATATACTCTACATGTGTTAGGACACTGCACTGAACTCTTTCAAGTATACGGGGTGAGGAACTGTGGCATTTGTGCTAAAATATAATTCCCACTTACAGTTTTTCTAAAACTGACTTATCACATTGGTTTCTTTTTGCATGAGGCAGGAGCTTAAGGACTATGGTTGGTAGAGCTATCACATTTTTTCACTTACCTGACATTTATCACAGCATGTTCAATATGTGCAGTTCTGCTTTAGGCTACTGAAAACACCTTTCAAATTCTGTAACTCTGAACAAACATAAGCAACAAAAAAATGAAGGGAGGAGAAGGAAGGGAGAGAGGAGAGGATGAATTTTAAATGTTTAAGAAAATATGACTTAGGGTTTGAGTTTTGTGTTCTGAGGTGCAATTTGAACCCAATAGTTTGTTCAAAAGGTACTGTATTTCTGAAGCAAAAAACCAAACCAACAAAAAAACTCCTACAAAAATCTATGAAACAGGGAGAAATTGTAATACATGCTCAATTAAGATATTCTACCAAGGGGTGGAGGAAGGAGGATTATTTATTGGGTTTTTTTTAACAGCATTTGTTAGAACAGCAACTTCTGAGCCATAACATCTAATATTTCCAGGGGTAAATCTGTTTCAAGTAATTGACTTCAACATTTTAAAATACTGGCTTCACTATATAAAAAAAAAATTTTGTACTTTCTGATTCACTTTACTTCTATATGAGTACAAGAATTTCTCAGAATATATATTCTCAGACACAAACTTTGAAAATGTATTTTACAAGTATGTGTTATTGATGACAGCTCAATTAAGCTTCTATAGGACTGCAGGATTACTCACATAGTAAAACAAAAAGGTAAATTAACGGAGAGTGCTCCTTTACGCTAATACAGAGTCCATAACAATATGTGTATTTTTAATTTTTAAAATGCCTGTTTATTTTGGAGTATCTTACTATGCAACCTTATAGCTAGCAGGTTTTGGTTTGGATTTTTTTAACATTCACCTTTAGCTGTAGCGTCTTCTCTAAGTTTTCAGTCTTCCTTTCAGCTATTTTAAGCTTCCTTAGCTCCTCTGACTCTCTAAAAGAGCTCTTTGGGGACAGAGACCTTGAACGTTTCACAGGTGGTTCCTGGAGAATAAAACAAGGACATGGTTGAACTAGTTGGAACACCGGATTATGAAAGACGTGCAGAATTAAAGAAGAAGTAATTTTGAATACTAATAATGAATTTTAAAAAAAAAATCTGCATGGAATACCAGAGAAATAACAAGCAGAATTACCACAGCGCTACCACTAAAGGTTTCTCTGTGACTCGTTAATGAGAATATTCATTTACATTTACATTGTTTCTTTCAGAATAATGATGTCCCATTAGGGAAGACTAAAGGGTTATAGACTCAGAAATGCAAGAAACCTCATTACAAAGGAGGGGATAGAGGCTGGTCTAATTGCTCTATAAGGGTCCAAGGTTACACTTGATAGGACAACCAGAAACAAGAGGGAAAGGATTTTTTTCCCTTTGAAATAGTTTAACACACTGTGAAGTTGAAGGAACAATATGCTTGAGGAATATAAATACAACAGACAGTAGATCTTATACCATAATGACCATATGGTCATTAACTATAATGTGACTAACTAGAGACAAGAATATGTGTTTATATTATGTACAGCTTCATATAGCAATCTGGAGAAAGAGTATGTGAAAGTAACATTTAAACTGGGCAGCTTTCTTCATTCTATGTCATATGTCCTTATGGCAAAGAAAGAAAGACCTCATCAAATTAGACTTTCAGATTTTCTGAATAACTTTGGTTAAGAACAGAGAAATACTAACACACACTTAATACCAATAAGGTAAAATGTTAATATGTAAATACATAAAGTCAAACAAAAAATTTATGATTATTGTTGCTGCATTTTGCCACTTTCACTGTAAAATAACCGATTTACAGCAAAAGGAATTCAGAATAAATTCTTCTTCAATACTGTATATGTCAACACTTCTACTATTCCATTAAATTGATTTAACCTTAAATAATATCTTAACTAGCAGCTGGCGTTTTTTATTTTGTCCATTATTTTCCAGTATGATACATTTCCAAGATGCCATGGAACATACTTTTCACTTTAAATAGGATGGGTTTCCAAAAAGGAGAAAAAAAAAATCTATCATGAAATATCACAAAATAGTAATACCACACATTTTAAATTACGAATGTAAATATTGCCAAGGTGGTTTTGTCATCTGGTTTTGGGATACTTTTACTTCTGAAATGTGCACAAAAGAGATTTAAAAACCCCCAACAAACAACAATTTTTTTTAAAAAAGCATCATTACCCTCACTCTCACCAAAAATCCCCAAACAAATAAAAAAATAATAAAAAAAAATACTAGGATCTACATATAAAGCTGGCACAGATTCTCCACAATAGGTTTTAAAAGTTTGTATCTAGTTTTACACAAGGGAGTGTAATTTCTTTATTTCTGACACAGTGATCAGTTCATGACAAACACAGTAGTCTCATTTACATTACTCTGAGGAAACAGACAATGACATTGGTGGTGGGTTAACCTTGGCAAAGGGTCAAACATCCACTCTACTGCTCACTCAGTTTCCTTCCTCACTAGGATAGGAGGAGAAAACAGGGCAATAAAGCTTATGGGTTTACCATTCACCATCATGGGCAGACTCACCTTGGAGAAAATCAGTTTAAGTTATTGTCACTTAAAATAGATTTGGGTAGTAAGAAATAAAGCAAAAAAATTAATCAACACTTTATCCCCCTCCCAGGAGGAGCTCCCAGCTCCCCACCCTCAACTTCATTCCATTACTCCTAACTTCTTTATCTCCTTCTGAGCAGTGTAGAGAGAGGTTTACAGTCAGTCCATAACACTTCCTCTGAGGCCATTCTTTCCTCCTTACTTTTCCCTGCTCCAGCATAAGGCCTCTCCATAGGCTAGGGTCCTTTGGGATAAACCTTATCAGAGTGGGTCTTCCATGGACCACAGTTCGTGTAACAGGAACCTGTTCCAGTATGGACTCCCCCCACAAGCTGCGGCTTCCATGATGGAATACCCATTCGCTGTGGGTTCCTCCACAAGCTTTAGTATGGGCATCTGCTCCATGGTGATCCCCTCAATGGGCTGCAGGGAAATACCAGCATTTGGAGCAACTTCTCCCTCTCCTCCTTCCCTGACCTTGGTGTTTGTAGGGCTGTCTCTCACCTTCTGTTCTTCACTCTACATTGCTTATGCAGCATTTTGTTCTTTCTTACACACATTTTCACAGAGGTGCCATCACATGCTCCTGAACAAATGTTGTAAATTACGTCTTTTTCCAAATATAGCATACAGTACAGGATATTAAGAAAGAACATCATACATTTTTCGAAGAAAATGTTATGAGATACCAAATACGGGTAAACCAGAAGGTTTTCAGGGAAATGGACATGATGATTGACTCTTGTAAATGGACATGACAGTTGACTCCTGTAAATTATTTATATCATTCAGAATCATGTTCATACTTGCAACCTTACTAAAGAAATCTCTTCCAAGTTTCCCATATTCTATTCAACCACAATAAAAAAAATAGATGAGGAAGAGGCTGAACACACGAAAAACATCATGACCTCAGTTAATTTAATAGATCAGTTTAAGCCACAGAATTATTTATGGCTCTCTTTCATTTACTATAATTTATAGCTGTTACTGTTACTGATGCCTATATTTAAGAGTGAGACACCATGAAAGAGGTGATCCAACACCATACAAAGTCAAAAGTATAACCTTCAAAGGACATTTTTGTCATTCTTCCTAAAAAAACCCCACTTTGTCCTACCAGAAAAATCAAGAATTTGGAAAAAAATATTTTTCATTTATAAAATCATAATAATAACCATTTATATTTCTCTCATTTTTCTTCCAGGGAAAGATGGTCATTCCAATAAACACCACAAAATATCTGATAAATATTCATTTTAACAAACCTACAAAGAATTTATCCTTCAAATAGTTCATTTAATTAAGAATCCCTTATTCAGTATTTAATAAGGTAAAACCTTCTACTCCCAACAGCTATTTTAACAAGTCTTTGGCAGATAACACAAGAACCATTTAAACAAGCTTCCAGAATTATAAGCAGCGTCAACAGATATTAAAATTATTATCTAGACCCTTGAGCAAAAATGTTTGGCATCACCAGTCTGACTTAGACACAAGGCATTAAAACTACTGTACCTCATGCTTTCTTTGCATCCTTACATCATTGCTTTCCAGCATATCTGTAGTGCTCAAATTATGATCTGCTAGGTTAAAACCTGAGTTTTTCAATTTTTCCTGTAAAAGCTCAATTTCAGATTTTTGCACTGTAATAGGGCACTCTAGCTCACTGAAAATAGGCTGTTGAAATACTTAACAATAAGTTTAGGTATATTGGTAACAAAAAATTAGAAGCATAATGCACCATTTACATAAAACTGCCTAGAGAAACACAACATTAACAATATTACAGGAACATACAAAATCTGTAAATAATTCTGCTTTTGTAAATGATTCATGATTCCACACTCAAAATCAGACCTCAAAATAATAACTAAACATTTTCAAACCATGACCATATTTTCCACATCTAAATTTACATTCTTAAAAATGATTGTTTTATACAGCTGTTTCTTCTGCAGCAACTTATTCTACTATTTTGTACATCACAGTGCATCAAAATTTCTTGACAAAATGTTTTACCTCCTAAACTTGTTTCCTTAACAAAATATTTCATCTCCTAGACTTGTTTCTGGTGAAACATTTTCTGGTGAAATTTCAAGTTGGTAAGTATCGCCAGCCTAACAAACATTGGGGGGGAGAAAACCAAAAACCCTTAACTGCATATTCTGACAATAAATATATTCTCAGTTAAAAACTGCCCCAGTAAGATATCTTTTCAATGTCAATCTACAACACGTATCTGCTATGTCCTTAAATTTGGCACAAATATTGAAGTCAAACTGAAGACTTACAGAAAAATAGTTGGTAATTCTAGATCACAGTGTTACTCAAAGCAGGTATGTCATTTCATTAAACCACTGAAATCCAGGATCCTTCCCAGATATCAATCCATACATAGCAATTCCTTGCCATAATACAACACTACTGCACACTGACCTACTTGGCCTAGTTACAAAACCTGTTCCGACAACTCACATTTCACTGGTATGAGCTACTATAAGTTATATCACTGGTGTCCGATAGCAGACATATGACCAAGAGTGGTCAAATTACCATGGCTTGATGACTGTCTCCTTGCCAGTAGAGTTTTTATGAACTGACTGCAATCACACCTCACCCCGTTACAACCACCCAACAATATGCCTGTTGTGTCAGTCTACGGAAATCACAAAGCGAAATGCTTTACCACAAATCTCCTCCACAGTGCTTTAAGGCTGGGGACACATACTGATCTTCAAACAGCTGTGCCAGACAAAGATAATATAATTCCCAGATGGTCAATGCATCCAGGCAGCTGGAGGTTAGCACCTCAACACTATTGCTGGAAGAGGGGATGATGGAAACTGCCTCCCTAATCAATTGCATAAATTTAAGGGCAGGTTAGTTTAAAAAGTCAATGCAAGTGGCTTGAGCTGACCCAGCTGACCTTGTATTGGATTGATGAGGGCAAACTCATGAAACTCTATTGCCAGTGGTGCTCTGACAGCAATGACAAGCAGCTAGGAAGCAGTACAGTCTTTAATCAACAAAACTTGCTCCAGAAGACAACTTTCTCAAGACTAACTAAAAGTTTATTTTATACATACTTTCCCTAATTAGCAAAGTTCTGACAAGGTCACTTCCTTGCAACTGTTTGAGCATATTCTTAAGACAAATACTCACTTCAACAGAGAAGACAGGATTTGGTACAATTACCATTTGTTCCTACCTTCTCAAATACTGGTAATCCCCCCCTATTTGAGATGGTAAAATAAGTAAATCAAGTCAGGTATACTGACAAAAATCAGAAAAGGCAGTGTGAAAAAGGTTAAGTAAGCAAGAAACGACCTTTAAGTCACTCAAGAAACGAGATGGTCCAAAGTTGATTAAAATCAAGCAAGAGAAAACCCTAGTAAGCATA